CCCCAATCTGTTTCCTATTAATAAATGTTTACAATAGTCGCCCACATGCTCAAATAGTAGATTGATATAAGTTTCATGTTTTAGGTTGAGCAGTACGGGTAAAATTACGACAAATAATGCAGCATTAGACATCGCTATTCCATGCAATGTAAGTGGAAAACATTTGCACGCTGTGTTATGAGAGAACCTTATGTGACCATGCAGTCAAAAGTATCCTCTGCAAAACGCGAACACTGAACTTTTTGCTTACTACACTTCTACAATATGCGAAGCCCAGACGTTGGAAAGCCCACCTTAAATGTGTTTTTACGTTCACTAAGAGTTCATTAGAAGTATACTTTAAGTGTGCACACCTCAGCGCCATGCTTGGTCGGTTGCCAGAAGCATTCCAACTAGGGCTCCGTGTTTTCGGAGTTTATTTTTCGTGAAATTCGGAGGGTGTTTTTCGGAATTTATTTTTTTATCGAAAATTCGGTGTTTATTTTTTGTAAATCCCCGATTTTCCGAAATTTGGGGATTAATTTCGCTGTGTTTCTTATTAAAAATAATAAATAATAAGCGGATGCAAATGTATGCCAGATAAAAAATAAAACGCGCTTGTATCAATTAAGATTTCTTCAGTTGAATTTGGCGTTGGTGCATTGGCAATACTAATTTTTCCCACGACAAAAGTCGCACAAAAGTGTGGCTTCGATAAACGTTGATACCTTAAAATCAACAAACTGCCGGAGGTAGCCGCAAGGAAGCTCGTAGTCATCCCATCAATCTATGCCGCGGCCGCGCGAGGTGGAGTGGTTATGGATGTAATAGAGAAGTTTCAACTGCCCCTTTTCCCTATTTTATACAATCTCTATGGTCCACCTCCAGAAACATACCGTCTCCCTTCTCTAAATCCCAAAACCCCATGTCCCAAACTGGAAACCAAAAGAGTGGCTTTTGTCGTGACACGGATGATACGAGACAAGCCGTAAGACCCCCTTTTGGCAACGGTCCGAGGCTTGAAGGATAATTATAGTGTATTTTTCCCAGGACCATTGATCCTGCGCTGCTCAAACTAAAAAAAAAAAAAAAAAAAAAATACTTAAAGGAAAAAAGAAAAAAAAGGGGGGGGGGGGGGTGGCATGGGCACACAACAATTCGGAGTTTATCGGATAAATCCGAATTGACAAAAATTTCACCGGCAGGTGTTTTTCGGAGTTTTTCGGATTTATCCGAAAACACGGAGCCTTAATTCTAAACTAGCAGGAGCACCACTCTACAACCGAAGCACACTATATAGGAGTGTGAAAATATATTACAGTTCCTGATAACAAGTTTTAAAAACTTCGCTGTTTTTTGTTTTCGTTTTTTAATGTTTGAGGTGTCACTATGTTTTTTTAGATGTTCTTTCTTTTTTTTTTCTTTTTTTATGTCGGCTTTTTAGCACTTTTTTCGAAAGAGAGAGAAAGATAAAAAAAATAAATAAAAGTAGAGAGAAAAAAAGAGAGAACGAGGAAGATAGATGCGCATATAAAAAAAAAATCAAGACAAAAAATAGGAAAAGAGAACAGATAGTAAAGCTGACTTCCTATACTAAGCGTTGTTATGTATCTGGGAGCGCTGAAGGACAGAGCGCCCGAGAATTCCTACTGGGGACCCGGGACGCAGAACCGTGCTTTCAAGCCTCGAGCGGGTCGTGACGATCGCTGAAGGTTGCATGCCCAAACAGAACGTCTTCCGGGAACCACGAGGCGATTTGGGACTACCAGCTCTCGTAAGGAGAGACATCGGCGTAGGCGCGTAATTTTGTTTGTCCTCGTGGTACTTTGTTGCGAGCAGCATGATAATCGATTCGTTGCATCAGACCCTGCGCAGGAAGAAAGCGGCTAACAGCGCATGGCAATAGCGGCTTCGGGTTTCATCATGTTCACCACGCCGAAATAACAGTGTGCGATCGATTGCGTCAGCCGAGACCGCGCCGCGATCGCCCTTTGGACGTTCGGACTCTAGGGAAGGCTCGTCTCTCTCTCGACGGGCCTTCTCGCCCTCGGAGGGTTATATAACGGGGATTCAAAGAGCCCCAAAGGGGGGGTATAGAACTTTCAACTACGCAGTTGTGCACACCGCTTGAAGAAGTTCTACCTCAGTACACCCACTTTTTGCCTGCTTCGTCGGGGCCATACGATCAGTTACAGTCCCGCGATTCCTCGTTCCACACCTGAGAACTGTCCCCTCAAAGTCGCAACAACGTGAATTCCTGCCTTCACCGAAAGTAAACTATGTCACCAAATTGTTTCATAAGAGTGCTAACATATACTCAGGAGCACGTTTGTCTGGCATTTCGAGAAGAAAGAATAGTTCGCATGCGCAGTGCTAGCTTCGGCCCGCGCAAATGCCTATACAAGGTGTTTTTTTGTTTTTCTTTCATTTTAACAGACTTATTTTAGAGAGAAAAAGAGAAATCTACAGTTATGTGGTTTGTGCAGGTGAGTTATACAGCCAGGGGGGCCGTGGGCTGATGAAGTAACAGTATTAATTAAATCTTTATTTAGTGAAATTCTAGATATGTTCTTCCAATTACACTTTCTGATTGTCACCGAGAAGCCCCCCAAACCAATCAATTATTAGGAATACTTCAAGCGCGTAGGAAGCGTATTGCTCTAAAGGTACCAGTGATGCAACAAGTACCAGGCTGAGGCTGTGATAAGAAACGGAAATATCCCACGGGTGGGTTGTCACACGGGTAGCATTATTTAATTAGTGGTTTTCGATTACGCTCAGCAGGTTTCTAATTGCAACCATATGTCTAGCTTCACTAATCGCAATGTTAATAATAAATTTAGCCTTATTAGCTGACCGATCACTACGATTAGCCCCCTATACAATGTCCCCCTAGTCGTGTAACTCATCTGCACAGACCTCATGAGTGTAGCTTACAAGGCTTATTTTATAAACAAATCTCTTAAAAGCCGATGACGAGTTCGCGCTTTCCACTTTTCCCTCGCTTCCTCCTCTCCCTCCTTCTACCCTGTCAACCGTTGGCTGTTTCCTCCTCCACCATGGTAAGGAGGATCTTTTGCCTTGCAGAATCTCGAGTCTATTCGTTGGACTTTAAGCCTAGAGAAGAACACCCTGTATACCTGTATGGCAATTAATAAGCTGTACTTCAGAGTCACGACACTTGGAAAATACCGTTGTTTAGAATCCTTGTTGACTTTTATCTATAACTTTGTCTGAAATTGCAGACGACAGTTTTCCGTTCGCCCGGGAATTAAGAAAAAGAAAACACGAGCACAATGATATTGCCTAGGCTTATCGACAAAGTATCTAAACATCAGAAAGCGCACGTTAAAATTGTGACCATCGCCATTTGCGCCCGCTCTGGACTAAGTACCCAAAGGGTGGCGTCCGCAAGCAAATCGGACAACGAAGAGCCGACACATTAGGCCTAGCGAATTCTGTGACAGGAACTTTTACTCAATTTCCACAGAATGTCTATATCCGCTTTTATTTCGATAACCAAACAACCTAATAAGAACAAAGGCCATTCGCAGAGTTATTGACTTTTAAAATACCAAAAATCGCCGGGATTCCAGCAATCTACCTTCTACTGGCAACACTGGGAAATCGCAACTTGTGACATCACGGGCGGGCGGGCCTCAATAGCTCTACTCCGGGAGGATGTTGCGCCTCCGCAGCTTAGGGGGTCAGATTATATTTTCGTTCTAACGCGACGTAATTTCTGCTGTGCGGTGGACTGCGCGACCAATTTCGGACTGAAGTGTTCATCCAACAGCGTTCTTCGAATAAGAGTGCTCTTGAGCTAGCAATAAACGCAGGTTTTATGAACCGAGATGTTGTGGTGTCTATTGGAAAATTCCGGACTGCACTCTTTGAAAACCGAAAGAGAAATTATCGTTTGCACTATAGCCCCAGAGCTTTTCGAGATGAGTAACTTTCTTTCAATTTCAAGAGGGCTTGAATACTAACAATAGGTACTTTGAGGAAACCATTCTCGACAGCTTCGATATCGTCAAGCGTCGCCCGGTGCACACTGACATACAATACAATACGTTTGAACGCTTGACGTTAAAGCTGGTGTCACAAAAAAATCCGGCATCGGCGTCGGTGGTGTTTTGGCGGGAAAATCCCGATTGGTCTATAGGGTCATAACGTCAGAGCCGCATGGCTTCGCGCAGAAATCTCCAACAACCCACAACGCTCACATAAAACATGACGTCACGCGTTGAATGAAAGTGATTAAAAAAGCATGACATCTAATACGAATTAAAAGTCGACGCATGTCTAAAATGATTTCTCAAATGTTTGCATATGTTTCACTATCGCGTTCTACTCTTAAGGAAAAAACTAAAGCGTCCTCGAAGTTTTTATTACGTTTTTAACATTCTACTGTTTAATTCCCACCAAAGCCAGAGAGGCTTCTGCATGGCACACGTAGGACACTCGTTTGTCCAGTGGCTGCGAGAAATATGTCTTAGCTTCAATCACGAAGGAGCGTTTTCGCTTGTATGATTACGATTAACTGTGCGTGTACTTTAGTTGCCACATGTAAGGTTACTGTTGGGGCTTCGGCTAATTTAAATATAAAAAATACGCATGACGCCCAAGGGCTACGTCTGCTAAAGAGACTTACTTAGAACTATTATTAACAGTCGAGAAACTATTCACGTTCGCGTGAGTGGCTGATGGGGAGTTACCTTGGCGGATATAAACTGTTTCTGAGCGTTTTTTTCAGCGCTAGGTCTTAGTGCAGCTTCCGACAAAATCTGGCCCGATCCGTGTAAAAAAACTACGTCGTCACAAGGAGAGAGCTCCTAAGACCTGAAAGAACCGAAACAGCGATTGCGCCGCAACAGAAACTGATCAGCCAATCGCCTTGTGAAGTTTAGGTAGATATATTAGGATATGTTTACAGTATGTCCTGCTCGCAGTCAGGGAAGGCCATACTCATGCTTTCCCCGGGATCCAGTGGCCCCAAGAAAACCCAACGAGGTACCCACCGCTCATAAAGTTGTACACGATGGGATTGATGGCCGAGTTGAAGTAGCACAGCCAGTGCGACAGCAGCGATGCCACGCTCATCAGCGGCGTCTGTGGCAGCTCGGTCGTGTAGCGAAGCAGGTTGAGCGTGTGCACGGGCAGGTAGCACAGCCCGAACAGCGTCACCACAGCGATCAACATCTTAGCCGCCTTCCTCCGAGCAACGTTCTGCGGCGGCGGCGTCGACGCACTCAGGGAGCCGACCTCGTGCAGGGCAGGCATCCTCCAGAGCACCCTAGCCATCTGGTAGTAGACGGCCGACATGAGCGCGAACGGCGCCACGTACAAGAGGATGACCAGGCAGAGCTGGTAGGCGCTCGTGTAGCCGGGCGGCCAGGTATACGTGCAATCGGTGAGGTAGAGGGTGCCCGGGACGGGGCCTTTGCGGGTGTCCAGGACGACCAGTTCGGGGAGCATCATCAGGCAGGACGCCAGCCAGATGACGGCGATGGCCAGCCGCGGCGGAGAGCCGGGCGAGCGAAGCGGACGGCAGATGGCGCGCCAGCGGTCCACCGAGATGAAGGTGAGCGTCAGGACTGACACGGACACCGAGACGCACTGGTAGGGAGGGTGGTGCAGAGGGAGAAAGGGAAGAGAGTAGAAGTACTGGGTTAGTAAAGCATCGGCGAAGATATGCGCAGTGTCCTAACTGGGATCGTATACGGTCAAATAGTCACAGACAACACAAGACATGCTTTTTGTTTGTTGTTGTTTTTTATTGTCTCGGATGTTTCGGGAAGGCGTAATACATCCCCAAGTAAAATACATCAATAAAAACATATTTTGGCATGAAAAGAAAACAGTTAAACTTAGTTGTTTTTCGTGTAATTTCAAGATATATTGGTAACCTATCTATATACCCATAGTGCCTCTTGGTCTTAATGACTTAGGGAAAACACTTCTTAATTCTCAATACTAAAGAAGTCGTTCCTCAATGCGAAACATCTCGAGGCCGTTTGAAATGTGCCCAGTACTGAACTATTCGATCATTTAGGTTTCAAATGTAATTCACTAACCCTACACTATTAGAAAAAGGGTCTATATAGTCCTCCCTGAAGGAAGACAATTCAGTTCATTCAAAAATTAAGAAACTTTCGTCCTTCAAAACAGGAGAGTAAAGTACCTCCGTTGTCTGCATCTCATTATGGCGGCTCCGAATTGAGCGAATGGATCTCAATAAGGCTTAACAAGGACGCTACATATTTTGCCCGGGACGAGAGGAGCAGCAAATAAAAGCGTAACACGAGCTTTTTGTGAACTGTATTTATTGCGGAAGCCAGCTTCTCACGCAGGTAAAGAAGTTTGCGTTTCGAAAGCAGTCACTCAGTCTTCTCGTCGTCAGCACTGCGATGTTAGACGGAGACAACCGATGTCCAGTTACTTCGCGCTCTTCATGTCTGACCTTTGCTATTCTTCGAGCCACAATTACTTCATCAGCACCGCAGATCACGGAGGACTGATAAACCATTCACGAAACTAAAAGCCGCTCTAAAAGAAGCAAATTTGAAGCAGCCTTTTTGATCACTCCCACATGGTATCCACAAAATATACCAAAGCGTGAAAGGAGGTTACATAACTCGCCACCAGATTGCAGGGTCAAGTAGAATATTTGCCCACAAAAATGCCACAAAAATCTTTATATTTGCTCATGCTACCATTGCGATTGGAGCACCTTCATCCTACACTTATGCACATTCATTATGCGTACCACAAGCATCAGCTGAACATATGCAACGATCTCACACATACATAGCACATACAAACGCCGACGTGAACGTAAGTACACCATCGCGATTACTAATTCCTGACTCGGCGCTTCCGCCTTTTATACTCGCCATTTTGAAGGTTCAGATTTTCTCGATGAGCACCTGTGCAAGAAATAATATTCCCAAACTGTTAAATTTTTCTCAGTTGTCTCTTAGTAAAAGATAAGCGCTCATGCCGTAATTACTTGCGAAAGCCGATAAAATAAGCCGCTCCACTCTGGTTTCAAGCCATGTGTTTGCTTCTCCTTAGGGCACGCCGTAGAATGGTAAAAACGAAGCCATTTTTTTTTATCGTAGCCTTTGCGTTTTTGCACTGTTCCCGTGGGGCTGCAATTGTTCCGTTTCTCCAGGGATTGCTATCGCAATTGTCATTTTGAATTAACCCATGTAGACATCGCCGAGATCCCTGAAGGCACAATCGCTCTCATCAGTGGCCAATGTGACATCGCAGACGACAGTCACATTGGCCACTGTACGATAGGAGCTACGGTTAAGTCCAGCGTTTCATCATGACTATCCGCTGGTCAATCGATTGCACCGTAATCCCTCAAGCAGTATTAAACTATTTAACGTAAAGCAAAATGCCAACCTACGACAATTTATGTCATCTTATCTTGCTGTTACACCCCTGTCCCGCGAACACACTGTCATATCGACGTCAATTCCAGCCTTCTTTCATAACGCACAACACTACCATCGCGACGTTGCTGCTGTGTTGCTGACAAGCACAAATAAAAAGACACGTGGAGTGCCGGTTGGCACTCGGCATTATAAAACAGAACCGAAACCAGCCCAGAAGAAACGCAGGCCCCCGGCAGCAAGACTTGCTTTTCTTAAACGCAGTGTCCGCGGTTTTCATGACGTTGTCAACGTCGACACGCAGTTCCGCAATCTCGAGACAGCCATCTTAGCCCAGTGTATGTAACACTGCTGGCACTGCTCCGAAACCTGGCTGTTTCTAACGGATTCATTTGATCGTTTAATGAAATGAGAGGTAAAAACGCCAATGCAACCGAGGTGTTCTGCATGTTTCAACTGGGAGACAGAATTACAACTCAACAACGTTTACTGTTCAGAATGGAAGTTTGGGTGTGTTGGTAAGGCATGGTTATTTTGAAACGTACAGCGAAACAGAAGCGAAGGAAGAAAGCAGACACATAATCGCTGAACCTAAAACTGAAGCTTTGATCGTCCAGGCGCAGCCTCTATGCACGACCAAACAAAGGAAGCACACACAGCCAATGACTCCTTACTGAAACCCGCACTCTCATCGCGCATGCTGTCATCGTTGAAGCAAATCTAATTATTTAGCCGACAAAAGAACCAACGGCGCGCTGACGCACTCTTCCCCCAAGCGCGCTATCGTCTCTGACTCCGTAATCTTTCTGGTCAGTGCATGGCAGTTCTTCCAATTATGGTGCTTTTTTTTTTGCTTTAATTCCGCGTCATAGCCACAGTCACGACAATGAATGCCCAAGTGTTCGGATACTACCTTGTTTACATTGTAACAACGTTTGTGAAACAACGCGCGCGACGTGCTCGAAAAACAGAACCGAAAGAAGATGAAAAGGTAGGGCGGAATCCCGTCTGCCTGGAAGAGAAAATGGTCTCGGTCCTCCCTTCTTCACGTGTCCCCATGAGGGAGCATCAGTAGAAGGGAGGAAAACGCACCATTGCTCTAATTTTCCTCCTTTACATTATTTCTTTTTTTTTTTCAAATGTAGGCATGAAAAAAGATTCTTTCTGACGTCCAAATATCCGCCTCACACGAGGTGAATTTTCTGAACATAATTCAAAAGGTTCTGCAAAAGCGAATCTATACCGCTTTTATTGAACCTATATATATACAGGTAAACGACCGTTTTAAACTCTATTTCTCTAGAGCGAGCTAAAAAAAAGCTACAAGTGCAGGCGCCACGCTTTCAGCTGGCGTGCTACTCTAACACCCCGCAAACCCGCGAGCACTAGCTATACTTGTTGCAATGGAAGTGTATGCTCATCCTGATGGAACAAAGCGGTCGACTAGGTGGCCTGCATGTTAAACCATCTCTGCCCATTTTCACCTCGAGGCGATCAAGTGCTAGCAAGCCCCACCTTGGGTGCCAGTTTTCGGTTTTACCTTGCTGCCACCCTCCTCGGAAAATGAGTCAACGCACTGGTTCAACACGCAGTCATTTATTGACTGTCATGGTCACCCGCGACTAACATAAATCTCCGCGCACACCTCTGCGCCGGCCTTTTATTAGCCATGGCCTTTTATAAGCGTCGCTTCACCATATTTCAAGGGAACCGCGATTGTGAAACGCCTAGAGGTACCGCTTTACGACGTCATAGGGGGAAATGTTTCCGGCTCACACGAGGCCACTATTCCCGACGTATAATGGGGAGGATCGTCCAAGATTGCTGAACTTCCGACACTTAATGTCAAAGTTTGCAATGAGGTCGAAGGTCACGCAGCAGCCTTAGTTTTGGAGGGAACATGTTCTCCTGCCCAACGTCGAAGTGTTCTGTTGTCGACATCGGTTTCCTAAAATTGATATAGAAGACATTTTAAGAAGAGCGGGAAACGGTGCAACGTTGCAGAGTTGCTTGGCAAAAGTAGGGAAGAATTTTCCTGGCAAGGGAGATACCTCACACACATTTATAGTGAACAAGGGAATCTTGTTCCGCTTTCATCAGCTGTCACCAGGTAAGATCTTGAACTAGGCGGCACTGCCTAATGTTCAGTGACCTCAGAACTCATCTTTCAGAACTCATCTGGGGTATCTGAATGGGGTTTCCTAGACCTTTTGGCCCTATATCTACAATCAACACTCGTCGAACATGGAAAGGAAATTCTCAGGCAAAAGAAAGGTGTCTGCATAGGCTCCTGCCTTGCCCCAGTCCTCAGCGAAATATTTCTAACGTATGTGGATCGGGAGATTGAAGCACGCCTTGAAGAGTTGACACTCGTACTCCATGTTTTTCGTTACGTGGATGATTATTTAGTCCTTCACCCGATCTCAGTTTCTTCTGATTCTGTAGTTCAAGCCTTTACTTCTTCGTCCTCAGGCCTAAATTTCACCAGGGAAGACAGCTCAGGCGATGGTCTCCAGTATCTCGATCTTCGTCTGCATTTTCTTCCGACCGGCATTTGTTGGGCCTTCCAACAACGATCTCGGAAACCTATTCTTCCATTCTGCAGTTCCCATTCTAAACTGGTAAAACATGGAATCATTCGGTCTCTCCTCTCATCTTCTCGCACCAAATCCTGTTCTCACTTTGCAAGCTTCAGCATTGCAAAACAACAAGAACGTCTCCTCAAAGCTGGTTATCCGTAAGGTCTACTGAGCACCATTGTTGTTCAGTTAATTCTAGCCACCCAAAGGCCCCGTGCTCCACGTAGTAAGTCTTCACGTGTTATCTGCTTTCCATATGTGCACAACTCGGCGCACAGACTGAAGGCAATTGCAGCGCGCTTCAACGTTTCAGTTGTCTTCTCGTGCAAGTTGCGCCTGAAACAACTGTGCAGGCGCGTGAACAATAACGAATCCTTCAAAAGATGTTCCATCAAACACGCCAATCAGACCGTTCCCTGTGAAGAGGGTGTGGCATACTCCATCCCTCTCTCATGTGGTGACCGATACATTTTACAGACAGGTCGTTGCCTGAACACCCGCCTACGAGAGCACGTCCTCGAGGTCTCTCGTGCTTCGGGCTACACTTTTCACCCAATAGTGGTTCATCAAAGCCTCTGTACGAACTGTGAAGCCCGGTTCCAGGACACCTGCACGATTGGCAGACACAAGAACA